ATTCTTAGAATAAAAACCCTGGTAATTTGTTACTTCTGTAAGACAGCAACCTTAAATTAATTATCTGAAAATTCTGAAGAAATTGGTTTTTCACTGGTTGGTAATGTTAGTTATGCCAAACTGAGATGGAAAAGAACAGCAAGTCCTGTTTCCTTGCATTAATTTACATATCAAATGTACATTTCTGGAATGATTGTTTTTTTTGTTTTGTTCTGATGGCTAATCAACAATATCAACCATGTCAGGTTTTCTCACAAAGCAGTAATGCCTTCTGCAGAAGGTGTCTCCATATGTTAGTTACCATATCACAACAGATTTGTGCTCATAATCATGAAGGGAGAGACTATTGGAATAGTCAATCTGAGTAATGAATGAATTTTTTGTTTCTGTGGGAACTTTGCATTACAAGAGTTTCAGTGCACATCATACTACAATAGAAAAATAATAAAATTAATCATTGTGAAAGCAGTTAAAACGGAATAATCTAAACGTTTGAATTTAATATTTTTGTGTTGTACAGTAGCTATCTTTTTCTTAACTTGCATGCTTAATATCGCCACCTGATTTTTACTAGATACCACAATATACTTGATGTAAAGGGCAATGTTCTTTCTGGATCCTGCATGAGGCCACTCCTTTGACCCATTTAGACAGCTTGATGATAACCCATTTGCCAACAATAGAGTATATAAATATTGTACTTATGCTGTGCCACTCTTATTTACATTAGGCACCTAACAAATGTGAAGTTCATTAGTTTTTCTTAACATTATGGTGCCTGTGGTCTGAATTACTCAATGGTCTAAATTAATAGGTCTTTATCTTTGATGACTTGTATAAAACAAAACATCTTGGTTCCCAGTGCTGATCACTTTGGGTTGGCTCCATTTTGTCCTTGCTATGGTACATCTATTATTTCTATGTCAAAGCTGTTTATTTTTAAATTGGTGGGATACATTCCAATCGTCATGTTCCTGACAGAGGTAACAAACATTGGTGGTTACTTTTCTCGTAACTCAGCTAAAGTTGAGTCATATATATGAACTTGCATCCACAGTTTGATTGTGGAAAAAATGCATGTTGAATTGTAATGAGAGGAAAAAATAATACAGTAAGAGAAAAAATAGAATAACTTAAGCGCTTGCTGTCTATAGAACTGTCCGAAGCCATGGCGCTTGACCTTAACTTTGCAATTACAAGCAGTTGTCAAAGAGTGGGCACTAGATTACGTAAATGAGTATAGCAAATATATAACTATATAATCTGCAGTAACCAAATACACAAGTAGGTTGTAAGATCAAATTTAGAGTAACTGACCAAGCAGCAACTCTATCAAAATAAGTAAAAGAGAATTAAAAACTGTTCCCCAATTATCTGGTGTGCATGCTTTCTGTTAGGAGTTAAGTTTCAGAAGTGGGCCACCATGGCAGGCCACTAACACATCACTAATTCATCCCCTGAATTGTATTTCTTGTAATTTACATGATTGTTTTATGAATAATTTGTTCAAATCAATTGGTGTCCCTTCAAAACAAAGTTGTGAAGGCTTAAAACCCCCAAGGCTTTGTTTATTGTTCCATTATTTTAGGTTCTGTAAGTTACTACTGGGTCAGCTTTTTCATAGGTTTAGTTTAAGTGGTCTGTGTCTCTCTGTATATTCATGTATGTATACATTAATTACTTCTGCCTTGTCACGCTGCTTAGATATGAAAAAAAAAGCAGATTAAAAAAATTAACTCTGATGACAATGAAGTTATGCTGATTGATTCTCCTTATCAACTCTGAAATTGTGAAACAAACTTCAGATTGTTGTTGGTCTTGGAATCAGCCCAGGTCCTCAGGTCAGAAAATCTTAAAGTCGTCTTTGATTTGAGCCTTGCATCTGAAGCTTGTGTGTGGTGTTGTGAAGTAGTCTTTAACATCAAAATGTATGCTCAAAACCATTCATATCGCTCTAGATTTGAAGCAGCAAAACTTTTGATTGTCTTTTCAGAGCTTCATTATTCTAGTGCAGTTTTTGCTGGTGTATCCAGCTATGTTACCCTCACAGCATGTTCAGAAGTCAACTGCTTAGGTTTTATCCAATGCTAAAACGCATGACCATATGTTACTTGTTTCAATGTCCTTTAACTATTAAAAAATCTCAGATGATTTTTCATCCGTTTTGGTTCATTTTACAGTACCTAGACTGGATCTGAAGTTGTGAATGATGCTGTATAAAATAAAGACCACTATTAAAGTAGGTTCATCATAAAGATTTTAAAGGTTTGCAATAAAGATGTCTAAATGGCCCATTTATAAATACTGCTTACCTTTGCCCCACAAAAAATAGTGCATCTCTGCTTAGACAAATGCAGTAAGTGAAAATGACTTAGCACTTAGATAAGTCAAATTCTGTTTATTAATGTTGTTAAATAAGGTTCACTGATAACGTGTATCACAATAGCTCCTCATTTCTTAATTTGTTATCCAGTATAATATCTATTGTGATTATGTACTGTATATACACTGTATGTGAAGAACAGTATCTTCTGTGACATTTAAGTCTTCAATCAGATACTGAATCTCTCCCCAGGAAATGTAGCAGTCTCTGTTTTTCTTGAATGTGACTCAGGGTATGCAGAGGTCATAGCCAGTTTATCTTGGGGGCCATAGCTGTTTCCAGGAGAGGTATAGTGAGCTTTTGCTTTAGTCTTAGATAAGTGGTAGCCTTGCCAGAGGCAATCTTGTGTTTTCAATAGTAGTTTGTGTGGTTGTACAACTGCACCAGGCTTACAATAATGAAGTCTGTGGTCTTTTCTGTGCATTCTGAATTGCACAACCCTGAAACTGTTGAGCTGCATAACCTTTCCTTGATGCAAGTCCTAGTTCTTTCTTTACAATATCTCAAAACATGTTTTTTTTAAGCTGCTGTGACATTTCCCTAGACCAAACATTTATATCTGAAGGAATAAAGGTTTTTTGTCATTTTTTTATGTAATGTGCCTTGTACAAGCATGATAAACATGAAAATGTAAATATGTCACACTATGAAAAATTATTTAAATATCAGAATATATTCTCATCTTGATATCTTATATTTGTTGTACTGTATGTGTTGTCTTCCATTTTCTTAAATAGGTATTTTTGTAAAAAACAAACATCTTTAAAATTGAATTATTCAACAATGCACCAAATCTGTATTCAGCCTTTTACACTTAACAGTAAACATTTTAGTTAACTGCAATAAACAGTGGTGTGATTGTATATTTAAATGACTGAAAATGTGGTGTCTGTCTCTCCCTGCCTTTCTCAGCAGATGCAGTTAATTCATATTTGTTCAGATGTCTCCTCACTTGCTTTAATATTTTCAGTTCTTTGCTTTTCAGATCTTCCTGGCAGATTATTACAACACTGTTACCTGAAATGTGGAGGCACTCACTCAGTGAATGTGTTTCTAGGGAAGCTAATATCCTCAGTTTTAGGCATGTTTTCCACAAGCGTAGTACAGTCTTTGGGGCTGAAATATTTTCTGCTAATGATTAAATCTGGGAGAATCTTTGCTTGACTTACTGATACTGTATGCAGCCCAGAGGCATTGTTTTGCTATACTCAACCCACAATATACAGTAGATCTTAACAAGAAGTTCTATTTAGTAGATTTTTTCTTTTTGAAGGATTTGGCCAGTACCTCACTCTGACGTGGTTACTGTATATGAAGAATAATCTCTAATAGAAAAAATGGCACACTCCACTTAATGTTATTGTGGTACTGGAACAAAACAGCTTATGGTAATGGAGTTTTGGATTATGGAAAAGCACACCATTGTGATTTTAGCATGTTTGCTTAGGCAAAGGCTTGCTGTGGTGAACAGAGCTGAGAAAGTTGCAGGTGAGCAGGAATGGGACAGTGCAGTCACAAGAGGTTCAGCTGCTGCTTTCACATTCTAATTACACAACAGTTGATTGTTCGCTTATCTTTGCAAACATTTGGGGGAAGGCACAGGGGCTAAGATCTTGCTGCTGTCTGCAAATTGAGGTAATCACGTGTCGATTTCTTGGTTCATTTGTTTTGGCATCGAGCACGGACAGCTTCCTCAGAAAGAAGGAGGGCGGCAGTTCATTCCTCCGATTTCCCAGAAAACTGATTTAAGTTTTTGAGGAGATGTGTGTCCACATTTCTTTTATGAGAATTAAACTGCCACAATTTATATGAATTAATTTCACTCATTTTCATTACCCCATTAATCATTATTGTTGTAATGTGTCAGGCAAATCCTTCTTTCTTTCTTCTGTGAAGAGCTCTGATTATTGTGACAGCTCCTGACCTGCTTTCCTGATAACTATTGTGATCTAACAAGGGCTGAGGCTGAGGACACTGTCAGTGGTTATTTTCTTTCTCTGCTGACTAAAGAGACCTTTAACATCTTACAACAAATGAAACTTAATATGAACGTTTATCTGCTGTCTCTAATTAAACCTTTTCTTTCTTCCTCTTTGCATCTCTATGAGCGAGTGAACTTGATGTTACTGTTGTATACAACATGTAAGATATATTTGCATAAAGTAAAGGTGCTCTAAACGAGTGTAATTGCTTCTGTGCCTTTAATTTCAAGACTTCCCAAAATCAGTCCAGATCATCGCTCCATAGCCCTACTGAAGTGTTTCAATGCCAAAACTCTAAACAAAAACAAATTTATAGAAACAAAACTGTTTAGTTAAGTCTCAAGGCATAACAGCGTGAAAATCAACCTGCAGAATGAATTCTGGGTGTATAAATATAATGAAATTGGGCATTTTCAACTTCTCATGATATAAGTAATTTAAATGGGAAAACACAAAATACTTTCTTAAGCTAGAGTGCATATCATAGTTTGGGCTAATTTCAATTTAATAATCAATCTGAAAGGGACTGCTTTTTTAAGTGTTTGAAAGGTAGAAGGAACATTTTTTGCTTTTATGAATTTCATTTAATTACAACTTGTTCGTGTTGACTTATCCTTCTTTCTTACAATTTCTAGTGCCTTTCCCGTACCGCAGGAGGAGAGATAAGTCTTCAGTATTTGGGCACAGTGGTAAGTGAACTAAATTTGTTTTTGATTTTTCATTGTAGACTCTTTTCATTTAAAAAAGTTGGGCAACAAGCATTAAAAAATAAACCATGGATCCTCTGTGTTGCGATAGTAAATAAATGACATGCAAAAGCGTTTGCAGACTAAGAGATTTAAAATGCTTAGAATTTTTCCAACGTTTTCTGCTGGTACTTCTACTCATGCTGCACCACTAGAAAAAAATCTTTTAAAATTACTGAAGAATCTCTTCACACAGGCAAAGGAAAATAATCTTGTATGCCCTTTGACTGCATTTTAAAGGAATTACTAGTGAGTTGTATAGGATGTCTTGTAAAAAAAAGTCGCATTACATGAGGCTGTGATTTGAATACAGCTTTCAGTTCTGAATTGCTTGTGCTAACTGATGAGGCCTTTTCGTCCAAGGATCCTAGTTTCCAACACAATCTTTTTTAATGTAATGTTTCTTTATTAGCCCTATACAATTTCTTGCATTAGGAATTTGTCTTTTCACATACCCCAGCTTTTTTCTCCAAGGAGACACAGACAGGGAGAGAAGCTTGGGGTCAGAGCGCAGGGACTGCCATTGAACAGCGCCCCTGGAGCAGTTGGGGTTAAGGGCCTTGCTCAGGGGCCCAACGGAGTAGGATTCCTCTGCCAGCCGCAGGATTTGAACCAGCACCCTTCCAGTCACAGGCGCAGATCCTTAGCCACAGAGCCACCATTCTTACATGTACTGTAAAGAGAAGTGATTGATCTGGCCCCAGACTGCTCTTGGAAATGTAACGCATCCTTTTAAACAGCTTTATTTGTTTTTTTACATTCAGTTGTCTTAGTTGAAAATTAGAGAAATCAGATCTTCAAGTGACAGATGCAATTCAACAAGCAGCAGGCTAACGGGCTTCTGTAATTTCAGGTAACTTTGTACGCTCAGCAGCTGTCCCATGCCAGCACAGTACCTATCCTTATGCCTGGCACACTTCCATTCAGCTGGAGTTACAGTTCAGCTGCAGCTGCAGCAGCATGGCACTACTTAGCACATATTCTGCTGACCTCCCTGTCAGCGCTGTTTCAGGAGCTGGCTGATCGTGAGTGCTGTGAGGCTGTCTGTCAGGAGGGCATCAGCATGGATGAAATGGTTCATTTGATTTACTGACACTGGATAGCAAACCCAGTAGTTCTACCTCAAGTTTTTTTTTTAATAAGAAACAAGGGTTAGCTGAGCCATCTGACATGCAGGCACAAGGTATGGAGAAATTCAGCCCAGGAAAAAAAAAACAGCAAAGACATCACCGGTCTTTTTTCACAGTGCCAGTTGAAGGACGTTGAACAACACTCAGACCTTTGAAACACTGGTGGGAATTAATTCCCTGTGATGGAAAGAAGCATTTACATGAATGAATAAATCTATAAGGAAGACACACAAAAAGAATATAATTTCATGCATGTCTTCTTATGAAACTGGAATATTCTCTGTTTACTGTACTTATGAACTAAATAATTTTGCCATTAATCTATTAGTAGGAAGTATAAGTAGGATATGCCAGTAGTATGGGTATTGTTGTGGTGTCCTGATATTGAAAGAACTATAACTTATGTGTGATACTCAAGATTATCTGGGAGAGCCTTCCAGCTATTCACCCTTGAGGTAGTCTATCAAAAGTGTTGTTGTGTGACAATGCTAATATTGCCTGTTGCCTCACTGAACACATGAGTGTTGTGCAGGACATAGCCTTCCTGAGATTTGGAGTGCAGCCTTTGCCCTTGAAATATTTAGGGTTTTTTGGCTTTGTATAAGGTGATGGATTTTCCCAGAAAGCCCTGCTTTCCTGTGTGTTTTCCTGGAACACAGGTATTGTTTTAAATTGAGAAATCTATCTGCTGGTTTCTCTCTTTTGCTGTGAAAAAATGTAGTGACATTTATGACAGTTCAGTTGTGTTTCTTGCCAGGGCATGTATGTGTATGTATTTCTAAAGAAGTAAATATATATATATATTTAAAACCTAAACTACCTTAAAACTAAACATGCAAACTAATAGAAAGAGAATACCTATGTCATAAAATGCCATATTGAATTTCCTAATGAAGGAAGCAAACAGGATTTCAAAAAGTACAGTACAGCTGCTACTTTTCCAATCTTACCTTAGACCCCAGTTAATCATCCTGATTTTTAAATTGTGGATTAACTGCATTGTAATTTGCCTTTTTCCAAATATGTATGTTAATATGGAAATTAATCTTAAATAGAGTTCAGAATTAATGTGCCTTTAATTTGAACCTTGTTGCTCCTGCACAATCAGATCTGGGGGAAAAGCACTTGGCCTGCAGAAGGGATTAATGACGGCCATCTGAAACAATTTGGAACTTAATCAGTTCAGCTGAGGAGGGTAAATTTAATATGATAATTTATCTTCTTAAACTGTATTGGCATAGCAGGAAAGTATGCAAATTCATGACCCTTACCTAGTGACTAAATGGTTGCTGTGTTGATGGATATATTTGTTCCATTAAAGAACTTTGGGGAACTTTAGGATTTCCATGGCTGCCCTCCATTGAGGTTGAGGACTGAACCAGGTCTCATACTGGGACCATTCTGGTCGGTGTATTTCCATAATTCGCCTTTTCCGCTGACATGACAGCAAGAGGCAAATAAGTGTTTCTAATGATATCAGATGGAGTTGTAGAGGACAGCGTTTTAATGTAGTAGAAGACCTCCCTGTGGGGTTGTTATTGCCACTATAGAACATCAGTTACACAGTTGCAACAATAGTCTCTTAATTGATTCGTTTAATTAGCAGGAGATGGAGCTTGTGCTGCATCTTGTCATCCACTATCATAGGGGGTCCTGAGCAGCCTGTGCTGTCTGCCACTTAACAGTCTTTGCACTTGTCACGCTTGTATTAAAGTGTAATTATATGTAAATGAAAACCACAAAACCCTTCAGAAGTTGACCAACGTTACAATATTGGCTTCTCTTTTTAAAAAAAATACTGAAGTTTTGAAAGTTTTTTTTTCTTTTCCCTCTGAATGATTAGCAAACTATTCCTCTGGAATGGATGGGTGATTCATCTGGACATCCACTCTTGGAGGGAGGAGGTGGCCGGGGTAGACATTGCGTGTTTTAAAGGAACTGTTCCACTGAGCAGGCTCTCTTCCATCTCTCAGTACCTGTGAAGTGAATTGAGCACAGTAATTTTCCAAGTCTGATTACAACTTCCTTCTTTCTGAATACTACAGATGTCATTATGGTCTTATTCAGGCATGAAGGTGTTCCCAGAGAAGCAACACAACGGGCCTTTCATTAAGTTAGAGATGTCCCTCAGTTGCCTTTGACTTGAAAGATGCAAGGCAGGTGGCAAGCAAAACTAGAGCCCTTTAAGTGCCTTAAACTGAAAACATGCATATGGGCTTATAAAAGATACCTGTACCTCTTAAGTATTTTAAAAATTGGTGTTAATGCTTGCAGGGGGTATATTGTATGCAATATCAGAATGTGCTCTAAGCTCCAAGGTCTCTGTCTGGATGTCCATCAAATTACATGGTTGGAGGCAGATGTTTTGCACACGTTATTTACAGCTACTCTCTAGAAATGGAGAAACATCTCGCTTGTCCTGCATTGTATTCCAGTGACTCATTGACCTGATTTCCAGCCGTGATTTTCTTCTCTCCACACTGGATGCAGCAGGCTCCCATAGGAAGCAGCAGTTGTAAAAATTTAAAAAGAAAAAGAAGAAAGGGCTGCTTTTATTCAACACAGCTTTTGCTTCAAAGGGATGGTACTGTACTGATGGACTCTTATGTATTCCTTCCTTTAACTGGAGGATAAAAAGGTTTACTGTTTTGTAGCACTGCACCAATTATTATGCTAGCTGGAATCCCACCAAAAGTCTATGTCTGTAGCTTTAAACATACCTGAAGTAACGTCATGTTAAGTAACTGTTAAACCAACAGTTATGCCTATCTCTTGTCTGCTTTTCTTCTTGAAAAGTAAATAAGAAGAAAAGTTAGTTGCTGGCAAGTTGTAGAGTATAGAATTCCTTCACCTTTTGTGCAAGTATTGTGAAACTATGGATCTGCCTGCTGGCAAAATGTACTCTTCAGTCGGTTAGGCCTTGGTCCTGTGGTGAATGTGCCAGCAGAAGTGCTTCTGTGAGGGGATGCATAATTTCCCTCCCCTCCAACTGAGAGGAGCCACCACCAAAATAAACACCACAGCTGTCCGCTGTTGTGCTCAAATGAAGACGTGTCACTTACCGCTTCCAAATAGGCGACACAAGAGTTAATATTTAATGAATAAATTAATACCTAATGAAGGAATCCGTAGTCATTATATTTCTAAATCGCTTGTGTCATTGGAATAAACGGCAGCTTTAAGTCCCTTTGAAAGTGTAATTTATTCATCCCACGCTGGAGTGCTGGCAGTTCATGTTTGGCATCATGAAATACATCTGTTTCCCTTTGAATGTGTATTGGGTTACACCACTTTTCTTTTAGGGACCCGTGTTAAGGCAGCACATACCTACCTTGTTTTAAGTCCCAGCCAACTCGGTAAAAACTGTTTCCTGTTTTTAATTCCACCGTTGTATGAGACAGCTGATTATCATGCAGCTGATATGGGCTGCAAATTGTGTGATCAATTTAAAGAATTACGCAGGGATTACTGCAGAAAATTAAAGCTTGCCAGAAGCTGAGAGAAGTGGGAGTGGAAAAAAAAGGCACTGTTCGTTTCAAAATATCTCCGCTAGCCCTATGATGTGATGACAATATAAACAACGTCACATTCTTGCACTTTTTATATTGACTTTGGCAGTGCTGCTTTCCTCAGATAAAAGGGTCTGATGCTGAGCAGTTCCGTTAATTTTGTACTGGGCTCTTGTCTATTTTTATGGTAACACACACTGAGCAGGAAGGTCAATATTCCGAAATACCCACTGTCAGCATAAAAGAGAAAGTTAATGTTGCTAATGGGCTTCCTACAAAGTATTGATATTATAGCCAAGTTTTG